CTTTGTGATAGAAATCCTTTATTTGGAATATGGCAAGCTTTAAAGCCATCTCTGTACTTTATAATTTATACACTGTCATGGTTCTATGTTCATTAAGGTTGTTACCACAAGAGACAAATTATAAAGTGCGTGTACTCAGAGAGAGAGGAAAGCAATGAGACTCTTGTCTTGGCACTGTACACAGTAATGGATAATCAGTGAAAAATGATTCCTCCAACTGAAGCCTACCTAATCCTTTTTGCAAATCTTAAAGCATAACTCCTTACTAATGACAATAATTTTTACTGCTGTTGCTGTTTCAACCTCTACACCTGAGGAGAGGAGTTTGAGATAAGAAGAGCCCCCACCCCCTGAGTCTTCCCGTCTCAAGGCCATGAAACACAGGAGTTGCAGACCTTTCCACTGTAGTAACAGTCATAACAAAACCTAGAAACAAAAGCTAAAATACACCTGTCGGACAAGGAGAAACACAGAAGAGGTACACTAGGGAAAATAAAAATATTTATATACATTAGCTATACCACTATGAAACATTCAGAGCTAAACAAAATAAATGAGCTGCATTTCTGCCTTCTATTCTTATGTTAAGGCATAAAATAGAAGCAGGGGTTTTGTTGTTAAGTGAAAAATTTGACAACATGGGTAAGCTGGAGCATTAGAATCCACAGGAAATTAGTGGTTTAAATTCACCAACCTACCTCTGAAGCTCTGATTATTTTTTTTCAACTGACAGCGCTTAAACGGACTAATTTATAGCATCCAAATGTTTTAAAAGAGTTTACTCAATCATACTAAAAGCAGGCCTTATTTTGCTGAAAATACAAGCTGAGGGCAGGTAATCTACAGCTGGAGATACAAGACCATATGCTACTTGCACGTCTGATCTTGTTGAAAAAAGAACCAGAAAAACTACCAGATTACTACAGACAGATGTCATGAACAAGAATAACTTAGGGGAAGTGTTCCGCACAACACATTCCTGCTCAGGGAAACAGCAGTAGTAACCAACTTCTCTTCCCACTTCAGAATAGATTTGAGTTGCTTTAATCTCTGGCTTTTGCTAGATACTGGAAAGCTACTGGGATGTTACGAATCAGACCTGTTCTTCAGTAATAACCATGAAATTTTACTCTATCTCCTACCTTGCTTTCAAGCACTGACAAGTACCGATATATACCAAATACAAATACATGTATACAGATTTACATGTAGTTTTAATTGAACCAATCTCATTGTATTTGCAAATCTGATCAACCGCTTCATAATTTAGTGGGGCCACTGTAGGATTTCCCTCTCCTGCTGCTCTCGCACCCCTTTCCAGCACACAGCACAGCCCGGTACTCTTACTCCTTCTGCGAAACAGGCCTCGCCAGCAGAGCAAGGGATATACTATTTCAGTTCAAGGTGTCTTGATTGCTGCCAGTTCCAATATTTGACTAATGAAACTAAAATGACCACCCCAGAGAAGCGTTCTGTGTACTTAAACTTAAGGAATTGGTGAAAAGTTTAACTCTTTCATGCATTCCCTTTTCATGTCTCCCTGGTATGAAACAGCATGAGTCCAGATTTGATCAGGGCCTGAGCAAGTCTTGAAGTGAACTGAGGGAAAAAAGATTTCTCAAAGTGACATTACCATATATATGAATAAATTTCAGAGGAAATAAGATTTTTCAACTATTCCTCAAAGTTTGGTTGCTGTGGGAGAAAAGAAAGTGCTGTGGAGGGCAAGGTGAAGAACAAACTCCAACATTTTCTTTTTTTAAAATATTTCTGAATTAAATTAAAGATTGCAAATTTTGCTCCTAGTACTTGACAATCTGTAGGACAGAATTAATTAAGTAACTGAGCGAACGAGTAAAAAATAATAACCTTAACTTTCTAACTATATTCTGAAATTGTATTTGGATTTTTGCTTTTATAGTGGTGACATAGTTCTTTGGTACAAAGTTTCACATAACTTACTCTGTGGGCTTGAGAAATACCAAAACTTTCTGAGAAATACATGGATCATTTGCCCTGTGGGCAATCAGAGGGCTCTGGAAGTAACTGGGAACAATCCTTAGCTAGATATAACTAACCAGCATATACAACCAAAATCCCTTAAAGGACTCAGAAATCAGAATTAATCTTTTCCATTTCTTTGATGTATCACTCTAATTTAGCAGAGCCCTAGTAAAGCACAATAGACAGGAGCAAAAAGCAATTACTTCCAGGAATTTTTATGGGCTTCATGCATTCCTCCATTTTTAGGCACTGAACTATTTCTCTAACAACTACTCGAACATATCTATTTCTGTGCCCTTAATTAGTCCCTACTACAGCAGCTTATAATGATTTCCTAGAAGCAAGGTCTCTTGCAGTTTCACCTGCAGAATGGGCTGTGATGCTGCAGAATTACAGTTTGCTCCATAGTTCTGTTTATGGGAAATGAGGTATTGTCCACACAAAAACAATTGCACTTCTTTGGTACATCACACCTTCACTCCTCAAAGCACAATTCCAGTGAATGTTCATGTATGTTAGAAGCTAACAAAGATCATCCTGGAAATCTTTTTCGCCTGATATTCAGAAGGAAGAGATGAGGCAAGCTTTGAGAGAAGTAACTCAATCCAAGCCAGCAGAGCCTTCATCCAACAACAAGCCTCTGGAGTCTGCAAGATGAATCCAGTGTTTACTACTACCTTCTCTAGAGACCCATAAAGGCAGGTTAGACCAGAACTATTATTACCCCTAGTATCTGTAATGGGTTCTGCCCTAGAGGTTTCTTGGCACTGTCACTGCCTTACCATTGGTGGCAGACCTGCTGTCTGCTACTTTTTATGCACCTACTGGTAGGGTGCACAGACCACTCCAGTCCCTCTACAGCTCTGTTGAGCACACAGGAGCAGGACTGTAAGTTGCTAAATTAATTGATTATGCCAGATAGCAACCTTGCTGCTTGAGTTGCTTCTTCACAGAAGTGAAAGGCTTAACCAGTGCCACAGAGAATACTGAAAAAGATATTAGAGTTTAAAACCCCCAAAAGAGTGGAAGAATATCTCTGTCTGCAGCTACGCCATCCCCTGCCAGACCCTTCCCTCCCTCTCTCTGCAGAGCTGTGCTGCATCCCACTCTCACTACACCATGGGCTTTCTTCTCCTGTGCATACCCTGTTAAACAGGTTTCAGTCTAATTAATTATCCTGCTAATATGAAATCGCAAAAGGTTCCTGGTCTTCCAGGTACATGCAGACTCATCAACACATTTAAAGAACAAACCCTTTCTCTCTCAAAAATACCCCACTACCACAAACAAAAACAAAAAGCAGAAAACTTGCTCAGAATAAACATGATATTTGCAATTTCAGACGTCAGCCAGTTAATTCAGGTAACAAATATGCTTCCAGACTACCACTAGTGCCCAATTATTTACCTAATTGGTCAATAAATCAAACTAGTTAAGCTGTTTAGAGACTAAAATCAGCACAAAACTTAATATAAAGCATCACATATTAAAATATTCATGCACCCAACATTTTAGAAGATGATCACTATAAAGATTCCTAATCCAACTTCTTTTGCTGAGACAACAGCTTCATTAACTGCCATGGTGAAAATCTAATGACGCATGGAAATATGCCTTGAAAACATCAAACAAGCAGAACCGTCACAGGACATGCCTTCGAATCTGGGCACCAACTGTCCATTTCAACAGACAGATACAGAGGTAGCAGCTAAACTCATCCACACTAACTCTAAGTCTTTTGAGAGGAAAATAGTAATGGAACTACCACCATCATTAAATGTGCCAAGGAAAATATACAAGGACCAAAGACAGAGTTTTTTTCATAAAACATATAATTTTAAATGAAATCTGCAACTAATTACAAGATACAGAAATAGTTACTACCTCACATTTGGGTTTTTTTAGGTTTTTATACCCTGTGATATTACTTAAGCTCCTTTTTAACTAAGAATGGGGTTGAATAAAGAATGTTTGGAATACCCTAAGATTTGGCAATGCTGGACTTCAAATACCGGTATGGGATTTGTGGGTGAAGGAGATCAGTCCCAGGACACCACCCAGTACTGGATTCTAAACCTTCCCCTCCATTCACAAGGCACAGTATAAGAAGCTTGGGCTTATGTCATATGGCAAATTCCATTTTGAAGTTCCTCTGTATAAAGCAAATTCTGGTTTTATGCCCTATTGCTGTAAAATACAAGATTTGTACATTTATGTTCAATGCAAAAACTCAATGTTTTCATGTCACATTGCATACAGAAGAAAATTGAACTAATAATCCTGCATATGCACTATCCTACATATGGGCTTCCTGTTATATTTCCAGTCTCCATACGAAAGATGCACTTTCATTATATATTTGAAGACACTTCTTGGAAAATTTCAGACACATACAAATACATAAGTGACTGCAAAGTAATTTTAATTTCAGACCTTTAAATGTCTATGACTACCAGCTTATTAATAAAAAAACCAAAACCAAGTTGGTATTACTTAGTGTCTCAAAAAAGCCCAAGATCAAAAGCAGTATAAATGTACACTAAATAAATATAACACTGTCTTCAAATCTATAATTAATATATTTTACAATGTTAAGCATTTTACAAGCATTTAAAAGTGCAGTACCAAAACTGACCCACATTTAGCTATTCTGTACTAATATTATTAGCTTTCAATGACAAAATATTTATCAAAATAATACTCTCTAATTCAAATAACCCTGTTGGTATCAGTTGTGAAGAACAGCAGCATTCCACATACTATGTAAATGTGTTTATGACTCAAAACCAAAATAAATGCAGCTGTCCATTTCAGTCTTAATGTAGTTTTTTTTGTAAGCAGAAGGAATCCCATATAAATTCAGTCAGCATACTGCTAGTGCTTCTATCATGCTTAGAGACCCTATATCACACAAGAATACACTTCTTCGTAACAGCTTGGAGTAGCATAAAGATTAGATTGATAAAGTAATATATATATACACACATATATATTACCTGTTCTTGCCTCTCCAGCCACTTGTCCACCATGGGATGACTGGCACTTAACGATGAACGAGCATTGTCTCTCTGAAACTGGTTAGACCAGCTACTAGTATCTCGTGGTAGGCTTCTGTAGTTTTCATCTTTCTAGTTTAAAAGAAACAAAAAAGTGTCTTATAAAAAACAACCAGTCCTTGCACGTTAACAATGCAGCTGGTTATTAAATGAATACAAAAGGAAGACTGACAAAGGAGAATACAGGTCCAGCCAGACCCAAGGACAACGCGATTGCCCGGCCATTCAATTGCAAGAGCTCCCCTTCCTTAACACCAGTGAAGCCCAACTAAAGTCTTCAGTGGATTTGTAGCTCCTGCACCCACTTGTACTTCACTAACTCTCTTTTCCAATCTCAAACTTCTAGAGCACAGACTTGCCAAGTACATACTCAGCAAGGCCTTCAGGGCATCGTGTTCCTTAGTTTCATTCTCAACAAAAGCAAATATACCATAGTCCATCAAATATACAGTCCATCCAGTTGGACCACTACATAATTTTCCCAAGTCTCTGTATGTAATTAATTTTACTATCAAAGCTGTCTCACTGCTCCAGGTACTGTCCTTTAGACCAGGATAGCATGCTATAGAGTTCAAAATTTGAATTTACTGTTCTACATAATAATGCTTTGCTTGGTTTGCCTGAAGGTATACAAATACAGTCACATTTGTAAAACAGCAGCAGATGGAGATTGTGCTGATGGAGATACATTTATCCCATTGAGACTGATAAAAAAAGATTTTTTTTTTTTCTTTTTAAATGATGAGTTTCTCTGCACATCTTTCCCACAAGCTGTACAAATTCTTCACCCTCTAAAGAAGATTAGTCCTTACCCAGTCTGATCACTAAAAGCCAATAAAAACACAGATCCTTAATGATGGGAGCTACCCCTAGCCCAAAGTCAATGAATTACTGATAACTTACATCGGTTACTTCCCTTGAACTGAAATAATATATGGAATGGAAATTCTGCTTAGTTTTTCAGAAGAGGATTATAAATATACTGTAAGTATCCTTCCTTCAAAAGCAGAGTATTTTTTCCAGTCAATGTTTGTCTATCTTCATGCCAAATCAGATAATAGAGAGAGAATCCATTTTTAAAATAGGATTGTAGTCCTACATATTTTCCAATACTAACACTTCTAGGAATCTTGAAAATCTCTAAAAAAATAAACAAACACCAGTGCACAATCACAGCTAAAAACTATTTATTTTTTTTTATTTATAGCACACAGCAGATTTTTGACCCTTTCTTGAATGAACACTTCATTCTAACAGCATGAGCATTTCCTTTCCCTATTTACTGTATTGATATTTCTTTGGCCTGGCACAGTATTAGTCCAATATTCTAAAACATGGACTGTAGCATCAATTCCCTTACAATTGCCTTCACAAGTTTACTTCTTGTAAATGTGTGACAGGGTTTGCTAGGAAATTCAGGTCTCAGTATAACTGTGATATGTAGCAGTTTTCAAAAGCTTCCTATGCGAGAGCAGTCTTTTCCCAGACACATCAAACTTAAGCTTTCTTAACTGATAACTTCTTTTCTTGAATGAGACTTTGCAGTATAGAATAAGTCTTCCATGTCAAGATATTAAAACTTGAATTCAACCAGCACAAGATAACCTTGTAAAAATATGTCTGCACAAGTAACCAGCCTAACAAATCACCATCATAAATCAGTTTATCCTGCCATAAATAAGAACTTTGTGTCTTTCAGCAACTAAAAAAAAAAAAAAAAACCAGTTTTCCAGTGTGGTTAACCACACAGCAAACTAGAAACTTGCTCAATCTCTTCCTTAGAAGGGGACAGTGGAAGTCAGTCACTGCTTTGTAGAACTGTCCCTTAGCAGAGCCATAAAAGCCAGGGAACGGTGTGTACAAATTGATTTTTTCCTGTTGCTTCTCTTATTCAATTCTTCTCTTCTGGTAACAGAGGTGGCACAGTTCCTATAAGCCAAAACAACAATTTCTCTTGTTCAAAGTGGTGGGAAGGTATAACAACAAAATCAAAATCTGACAAAGAAAGAACGAAAGATCATTTTATGCACAAAACCCCCCATACATTTGGTGCATGAGTTATTGTAATCTAACAATAACTCACTATCTGACAGACCATCACCTAGTCTAAATGGAAATTTCCTCCTATGTAATGAGATGTTTTCTGTATTTCTGTGCTTTATAGATAATTCCATTTTTTATTGATTCATGTTTACAATGTTCAATATAAACTTTTTAAAAAGACATTTTTTTCTACACTACAAAAAAAATCTTTCTCCACACAGCATCCATTACCCATGCACAGGAGTGTTTTGCAAGAGCAAGAGAGGAAGGAAAAAAGTTCATCAAGGGACGTGTGTTGTTCTTCAATCATTCAAAAACTAAGTCTCTGATCTGAATCATGCAGGACAGTCTTATTGCTCAGATTTTATATTGGAACATCACGCTGTAGAAAGTCTTCAACGCCACAGCACACAATGTAAATGAAATTATCTAAGCTAAAGAGTTAAATTAGGCCTCTGTTTGATGCATCTATACTAATGTCATGAATCCCTCAAGGAAATTACTCCTAATACTATCTGTGCTGACCAGAGGAGTATATTCATCCCATCTACTGAAATATTTCTGCTATACCCCACTTCTGTAGAAGATTACCTTTCTCCTGATAAGGCCTATACCAGTTCATTTTATACAGAAGGCATCAAAGTCACTCAGCAATTTTCCTGACAGCAGAACTAAAAGCTGAAATTGTAGAGAGATGTGGTTCCTGTACCTTCTTGCGTTTCTCAGCACTGCTCAGAGGCTCAAAACAGCGCTATTATCAGAGTGGAATAAAATACCTTATCAGTGTTGCAATCACACACAGTAATGTTGGGTTTAGTCAAACAGTGAAACATTAGAAGAACAACCAGCCATAGACAAGTCCTCCACTCCTTTCTTTACCTTTGCTTTTTGGCAAACAGCTATCCCTGTACCCCACCAGTGACAGCACCGGGGCAAGCACTAAGCTAGACCAGGAGCAGAGAAACCAGCACTTTGAACACTGCCACACGTAGTCCTTGCAGATAGCTACACAACAAAACCTTAAGATGCTGCTGGCTACCCGGAATCCCATCTATGCAGGGATCTCCATTACTGCTAATGCCAGATCTAATTCAAGGACAGCAGTGGTGATAAACTATAGAGGTGGAGGTGAAAAACTCATTGCTGCAGCTTAGACATTGGGATTTACTGAACCAGCTACAATGTTGTTTGCTATTTAAAATATATATATATAGGTGGGATTTTGTAAAATATGCAAGTGTTAACCCAGAAAGCTTTACTGCTATTCAGCATGATGTAGCATTAGCACTCACGCTGCCAACATCTGACCAGAAAAGGTGTGTGTCACTTTCAACTTCAATACCATAAAGAAAAAGATTTCATGGTACAGAAGCCATCAGGGTCATATGTAGGGAACTGTCATTTCTTCTGGAGCTGCAGCTGTAAGCCCTCCTGGGACCGGGGCTGACGTGCATCATCAGTTACAATTAAATCCTCTAATTTTTTTAAAAAACATCTTTGGGGACCACAGGCCATGTCAGCTTTATCATGTTTGAAGTGGAAATTGATCAATATAACACCACAACTGCCAAGTCACAATATTACCGCTACACTTAACAGTAGCATTTTGCAGTATTTTTAATTAGGACACATAATCTAACACCTTAAAGATTTAGTTCAGCATGGTGTCCCTGTGGGGCTTTGCTGGAGGGTTGGGTGAAAGGGGACAGAAAAAATGAAGCAATTTTGCTATACTTTTAATTTCTGATGATTTGCAACATAACAAGCTCCTCATCAAAGACTCTGCAGCTTGTACATGAAATGATGCATTAGCATGATCTGTGTACTTCAATTACAAGCTGTCAGTGCATAACCTCACTCGTGATTTTAACCCACAGTTCTACCCCTGCAGACTCCCAGCATTACTAACCCAACCAGAAAGTCCTCCACATGGTACGGTGACAGTTCCATGTCTGTTATCTCATTTGCCACTAGGCCGCTTTCCAAATAGTGAAGAAGTTGGGGTTTTCCCTTCGTTTTGACCTCCTGCGCAGCTAACGTAAAGTGTGGCAAATTTTGGTGTGGTTTGTTTTGGTTTGGTTCTTTTTAATACTACATAGCAATACAACAGGAGTAAAACAGATTGAAGAGGTCTTCAATGTAATTCTCTGGAAGGAGATCAAAAAACGTAAACCAAGTTTTCACTTTAACTATTTCTACAGCAAATTGCCACCATCCCATTCAGGATCTTCACTAAGAGAGACCATTTTGGGCACTGACTTTTTTTTTTTTGCTATCCATTCTTTTTTCTTGTACACTATGCACTTTTGGAAAGGCTTCTTGCTTGCTTGGGTTTGATTCCTTGTGATGGTCTCAGATTGAGATAGGGTTTGTCCATGTCGATGAGAGATGAAACTTCATTTAATCTTTTGAGGTTATAATTTCATTTGACAGACTTTGGGGAAATTCATGTCTACAAGTGTATTTATTGTTGTTCAATCACTAGAAAGGCTACTCTTCTTTCTTTTTATGCTCCACTATGTCCATGTTAGACCCTGAACAGATTGGTATCGCTCTCAGACAGGATGCTAAAAGCTGTAATTAATGAAACATTCATATAGTTTACGTAAATACCTCTTTGTCTGATGCAAACATCTGTTTATAAATGCAGCAATATACACATATACCCATTTTCCATGCTGTGTGAAGGTCTAGTAAGCAGGTTCCTGGAGTTTTTTGTTTGGTTGGTTTTTTGTGTTGGTTTTTTTTCTTTTAACTGGATTTTAGACAAATAAATGAGGCATAAGACCAACTGAATCCCCATTTCTCAAAAAAAAAAGAATGTTGCACAAATTTTGTCTATTTTACAGGGAAAATACATTACATACAGAAAATGAATTAACCCAATAGATGTATTGAATGAACAGAAATTCCCTTTTAAAAAAAAAAAACCTTCTTACATAGAGGTCAGATTTGGAACTGATCTCTCTAGTCATCAACAGCTTTTTAATTGTACCAAATTTCAAAAGTTTACCTTGAAACTAATTGTA